ATTTTTAAAAACTTTTATTTACTTATTTTTTTAGAGATGGGATCTCACTATTTTGCCCAGGCTGGATTTGAACTCCTGGGTGCAAGCAATCTTCCAATCTCAGCATCCTGAGTAGCTGGCACTGGAAGTGTGTACCACCATGCCCAGCACAAACATTAATTTTTTAATGGAACAAAAATTCCTGCAATCAAATTATTTAAAGTCTAATTAGAAGACAGGACATGTGTATGAAAAAGTAATTTGCAGAACGATATAACAATAAAATACTTTCACAAGCTATACATATGTTAAATCATCAAATGAGCACTATGAACAGTAAATGCTCTGTTAGGAATAGCTAACTTCAATTAGGGTTGTTTAAGAAGGTTGCCATGAGGAGGCAGTGTAATAACTGAGCTTTGAGGGATTAATGGGATTTCAAAAGGTAGCAAGAAAGAGAACATTCCAGCCAGAAGGAGCAGCATGAGCAAGGGTATTATGACAAACATGTATATCCATGTTGGGTGTGAAGGGATTATGAGAATAGTAGTTTGCTGAATTTAAAAGTACATTGGTTGAGATTATGGATGGCCTTAAACAGTAGGATGATCTATAGGCAAGAGAATTTCATTAAAAGTTTTGAATGAAGAATGATTAAGATTGATCTAGCAGCTATGTATGGCATTCATTCATCCAACAAATATTTACTGAACTCCTGCTATGTGCCAGGCATTGTCTAGGGGTCCTAGGGATAAAGGAGTGAACAGAATACCCCAAAGTCTCTGCCCTCGTAGAGTTGACATTTAAGGAGTGGAATACCAGGAGAGGGAACTGTGAAGAGCCTGCTGCAGTATTGTAGATAAGAGGATCTGAACCAGAGTTAGGGCAAAATTATACACAAAGGAGTAGATGCTAGAAACATTAAAAAAATAATAGACACAGGTGAATGAGAGTATAGAGAGAGGAGGAAAAGGGAAAAGTCAGAAATATCTCTAGAATTTCTAAGTGGGGATGAAGGAGATGATGGACCATAGATTCAAATGCTGTGGAGAGGTCAGTGAGGACTGAGTTACCAAGATTACTTTTGATAGTCAGGAATCACTGGTGCTAACATTGCTGTTTCAGTGAGTTGCTGTGAATGGAAGCTAGATGTTGGGGAGTTTTGGAAGACTGAGTGGCAGGAGAGTGGAGGCAGTGGATGGATGGATTTTACCCCTTAGCCCTCAGACTTAAGGATAAGCAGGACTTTACATGCCTTGGCTTGGGAACCTAGGCTTGATAGACATTTAAATGGTTTTAAAATTACATTTGTACTTTAATTACCCACTGACTTTCAGTAGTTTTATCAGTACTGTTTCCTCTACTGAACAGATTAACTTGATTCTCACAGTATTTGGGGGGTGTTTTCTTAGGGATGGGGCTAATGAAAATTTCATGAGCTAGATGGCAATTTGAAATTTATTACATTTCATAATGTGCTATTTCTACTATAAATTTTAGATTATAGGAAGATAAAAGTAATCAGACTTATTTATAAATTTGGAATAAAAACTCTTAAGGAAAAATGTGCTGGCATTTATATAAAGCAGTGCTGTCTAATAGAAATACAGCACAAACAAAATTTATAATTTTTAATTTTCTTATCTACACATTAAAAAAAGAAACAGGTGAAATGATTTTTAATTTATTTGACCTAATATTATTTGAAATATCATCATTTCAACATGTAATCAAGTTAAGCAATTATTGAGATATTTTCATTCTTTTGCTCTTACTATCTTTGAAATCTTAATTTTGACTAGCCCCGTTTCAAGTGTTTGGTTACCAAGTGACTAGTGCCCATACTGAACAGTAACTATACTGGACAGCACAGGTGTATATCAAGAGAAAATACATACTAGTACACTTGGTATTGGCCATGTGTGTAAGCCAGTTAGTCACTGGAAGAATAAAAAATACTTTGAAATCGTGTGTAGTTAACCATTCAAGTGATGTTTCTGTTACTCTAGTCACGTTATTGTTTACCTTGTAATTCTTTATTTCCTGCCTATTAGGTGCTTTCAAAATATCTGTGGATCAGAAGCAGAGGGAAGCAAAATTTTCTTGCTACCTTGTCTGAACAGTGGCTCTGACATCTAATGACCCCTTGAGATTAGGTGACAACTATGAAAACACAGTATCTTGTTATTTTAGAGGCTACTATTACTTGCTTAAAATTCTCCATAGTGCAGGGCAAGAGAGAGGGAGTAGGGTATTATTTTTACATGGATGGTCATGGAAATCCTCTCTGGAAAGGTGGCATCTGAGCAAAGACTTGAAAGAAGTGAGGGACAGAGCCATGAGTATGACTGGAAACATCATTCTAAGCAGAGGGGAATAATAAGTACTAAGGTCCTAAGATGGGAACATATTTGGCATTTTCAAGAAATAGCAAGTATGCCAATGTGACTGAAGCAGAGAAGGAGGAAAGTGGAAGCAGATGGGTCGGAAAAGTTGGGGGTGATGGTGTGCAGATCATATAAGGCCTTTAGGCTGTGGTAGTGATCTTGGAAATTACCATGTGAGATGGGAGGCAATTTGGAAGTTTTTAAGCAGAGGAGTGACATCATCACACTTAGGTTTTAAAAGGCTAACAATAGCTTCCACATGAAACATAAAACTAGCACTCCAGTTAGGAATCTGTTACAAAAGCCTAGGTGATAGGAGGATGGTACTTGGGCCAGGGTATTAGTTGTAGAGGTAGAGAAAATAATTTCGTTTCTCAATATATTTTGAAAAGAGAGCTGATAGGATTTGTAGGGGTTTTCAAAAATTTTTATAATTTTTTTTTTTAATGTGGATCCTGAGAACAGGAGACTGTATGGACTGGGGCCTGAGTAAAGGTCAAATGGAGTTGCCATTTACTGAGACAGGGATGACTATAGGGGAACAAGTTGTTCACCTTTACTTTTGTTAAAATTATCTCTTAGCACCATGCAAAACATTGTGGATAAGACTAAGGTCTTCTTTGACCTTTTTTCTGAATGCTGATTCTCTATTGTTCCCTCAATCCCAAAGCAATTGTTGTCATTTTGGCGGGGGTAGGGGTGAAGAGGTTGTCCTTTCAGAATTTTTTTCCATTTTATCATAAGGATCTACATTGTAGCCACAGGAAATATAAGTAGTGTTTTTACATAAATGTTTCATACCACCTAACCTGAGCAACACAGGGAGACCCAGCCTCTACAAAAAATAAAAAATTAGCCAGGCGTGGTAGCACATACCTGTAGTCCCAGTTACTTGGGAGGCTGAAATAGGAGGATTGCTTGAACCTGGGATTTTGGGGTTGTGGTTAGCTATGATAATGTCACTGTACTCTGGCCTGGCCAACGACAGAATGAGACCCTGTCTGCAAAAAAAAAAAAAAAAAAAAAAAAAAAAAGGTTTATACCACAGATACTGTTCTATAGCATACTTTTTTCAGTTAATGGTGTGATTTGTTAGATCTACCTGATTCTTCTTCATCTTTTCCATAGTATTTCATAGCATGTATACACCACCATTCTGCTGTTTTAGATATTCAGCTTGTTTTCTAATAAATAATGCTTCAGTGAATGTCCTTATACACATGTACAAGTATTTCTGTAGGTTAGGTATCTAAAAATAAAATTGTAGCATTTTGGGGTATATGAATTTAAAACTTTAATAAATACTACTAAAAGCCCTCTGAATTACTGAAAATTGTCAGTAATCTATGAAAATACTTCCCCATCCCAGTGTGACAGGAACATATGGGTAATTTTTGAGGAAAAAATGTTGATTTATTATTATGATGAGTTGGACAATTATTTCCTGTATTTTATTATGTGGGAATGGGGAAGGCTTCACTTTTCTATACTTTATTATAGAGATACTTGACATATCTTTACTGCAAAAAAGGTGTTTTGATAATTATTAGTGTAAAAGTTATGTGGGTTTTATTAAATATTTTCTAAGTATATAGAAAATATACGTTCACTACGAGTTACATCTTAATTATGTTTCTAAATTGTTTAGTGGAAAGAGATGTTAATGGGATGTTATTGTCTGAAGCAACTTGTGAGCTCTGTGATGAAAAGGAAGACTCTTTTACAGTACCAAATGCTTTAGGAAATAGGTAAGCAATGTGGTAGGGGCTGACTTCATTTATATCATCTTATATTTATGTATAATCTGTACTGTTAAAAGTATTTTCCTATCCTATCACTGGCTCCTTACAATAACCCAAAGAAGGATAGAAGTAGACATTAACAGACAGAGAAGCCGAAGCCTAGAGTGTGAGACAGAATAGGGTTCAGATGTGGGCTCAGTTTATTAGTTGTTTGACTTCGGACAGCTCAATAAGTCACAGTCTCTTGTATGCAGAATAGGAATGTACTACCGACTTCATAGGCTGTAATGGCTCAGAAATAAATATGTAAACTTCTTAGCATAGTGCTACATGGTAACCACTCAGTAAAAGGTAGCTGGTTTTGTTTTATAATATGTGCCAAGTACTATGTTACAGCCTTTATATATTATTAATATAATATTATATAGAAAAACATTAATAAATGAAATAATAATTATACTAACCCAGGTACCCTGATTTATAGTCCTGTTTTCTGTTGTTTCCTGTTCCCTCTTTATGCCCGTGTTCGTGCGCACAGACACACAAACACACACCTCTCCCTACACACCTCCAACTTAAACATATTATACCTATTTCAGCTTCTTCAGTTTTCTTAGAGGCCTACATGATGACTTCCCTCTAAGCACAGTTTTCTCTTTAGTTCCCAAGTTTAATATAGAAAATAGTCAAGCACCTTCTCCTGGGGATACTTAGTGTTGGACCATCTTTTCTCTCAGACTGACCTGAGTTATAGCATCATAATACTACTGGGCTGAGTCCCAAGTTTGTCCCTCTAATACTTCCCCAGGCCTAGTCTGAGTTTTATATCATGCCCTAGCTCCACTCCTACCTGCTCTATCTTGCAAGTAATGAATACCCATATATTTATTCAGTCATCAGTGTCCACTAGTCTAGTGCCCTCCCTCCCTCTATCTCATTCATTAATAAAAGGTATAAAATATTTTCTTTCCTAAGATGATAAATAGATTTTATTTAAAAATGTTGGGTATAGGTTTGATGAGGAGCTCCATATAAATATCTTTTCAGCTTATGCTGCTTTTTTTGCATTGTGGCAGATAAAATAAAGTATATTTGATACAATTACTTATAAAAATTGGGCTTCATTTATATGAATTTGTTGGGCTCTTTCACTAGTTGAGTGACTTAACCATCTTTGCTATTCAGTATTATTCATTCTATATATTCCATGTAGTTAAAAAATACTCTTCTATTATTGGTTAGATTTATTTCCTTATACTTTGCTTTATAACACAGAGTGGTATAAAAGTGTTCAAATCAGTGTTAATATTTAAAATTTGTTTAATATATTTAAGTAATTGCTTAGCTAAATGAACCTATTCTAATCCATCATTTTATGAAGACAAGTTCTCTATTAGGTTTAGTATAATTTATTAACATTTCAAAAATTATTTTTACTATGTTGAACAGGTGCGTCCGATGTGAACCAACATTCATTAATACCAGCAAGTCCTGTGCATGTTCTGAACCTAACATTTTAGTAAGGCTAATCAAATTGATAAAGTATATATTTATAAATTCAGTTGCTTATAACTTTTCATAACCTAGGTATTTTTCTCCTTATTTATTTATGAAGACAGGGGGATTATGTTTCAGCAGCACAGGGAATTTTCCTCCATGTAGAATTTCACCTACGCGTTATGGAGAGCTTGTGAGTATGTTTCAATTTTTGTTCTATTGTTAAGGAACTTTCTACGTTTCTTCCTTTAGTAATTAATTTCAGACTAACACGAGAAACATTTTTGTATAAATCACTTTAAAATAGAAAAAATTATCACTCTAAGAAACATTAATCTAACAATTTGACGTTATAATTTATAAGTATAGTACTCAGTCTATACCTTAGCTTATTCCTTTTTCAGTGAACTACAGAATGTTTAAGCTAGAAATGCCCGATATAGGACTTATAAAGTAACGGTCCCCAACCTTTTTGGCACCAGGGACTGGTTTCATGGAAGACAATTTTTCCACGGGGGTGGGGTGGCTGGGATGGGGGTAGAGGGAAGCGGAGCTCAGGTGGTGATGCAAGCATCAGGGAGCAGCTATAAATACAGATGAAGCTTCACTCAGTGGCCTGCTGCTCACTGCCTGCTATGTGGCCTGGTTCCTAAGTTTCATGGAAGACAAGTTTTCCACGGACAGGGTCAGCGGGGTGCGGTGGGGGAGGCTGAGCTCAGGCAGTGATGTGTGGCCTGTTTCCTAACTCTAGATTTGAACCATGGATTTACCAGTCATTAGTTTTGTATCCTTGCACCTTGGGGAGGTTTCTTAACTTTTTAAAACTTCAGTTTATTGTTAAAGTAGACATAACAATAATACCTATGTAGGAATGCCTGTACGTGGTAAGCATTGGAGAAATCAGGATTATTCTTATCTGGCCAGGTTCCTTGTTTTATAGATGAGAGCATTGAGGCCTAAAGTTAGAGCTTTTGTAGCAGATGTTGGTGTTAACAAGTTCGAGGGTATAAAATGGGAAGTAAGTGGTCACGAATCCAAGAGAATAAGAGTTAGATGACTAGGAGTTAGAGTAGGAGTTAGTTAATGAACATTGAAGATACTGTATGCCAGCAGAACTGGGTGCAGACAGACTGTGGTCTGGTTGTTAATGTCATCATTGAATGAGTAGGAGTGATTAGGAGGGCTGTGAGGCTAGCAATGATGAGGGTGGAATCTGGGATCTTGATGAATAAGGCAAAAATTCCTCTCTTCCACTATCTTTTGAGGGTGACAGGCAAGTACCAAATTGTTGCCAGACAACAAAATAAATGCTAAAACAGGGATATAAATAGGGAGCTCTGAGATCATCCAAAATTGGCTCATCTATAACAAGATACATGTCTTCTGGGACACTCTTCCCCAGTCTTAGGTTGTAGTGAATGTCTATACCTGATTATCAGTTTTTTTTCCCTTTTCAAATAATTTAAGTTGAAATAATTTTGCCAAAAGTCCCAATGATCTCTTTCCTATCTCCTCTGAGGTTGCCAGTCATTTAGGTCATGTTACTTTAGTTTCCTTCAATCTGGAACAGGTCCTCAGTTTCCCTGTCTTTCCTGAATGCAACAGTTTTGAAGATTACAGGGCTTACCATGTATAGGATGACCCTTAGCCTGGCTCCATCCAGTCTTTCCTCATATCGGTACGGGCTTGGCAGAAAGCCACACAAAAAAAGTGCCCTTTTCAGTACATTGCATCACATCAGGGGCACACAGTGTCCACCTGGCCCACCACTGATAATGCTAACCTTGACCACCTGCCCTAAAGTCACCATGACTACCATGAAGTTACCGTTTTCCATTTGTAATTGATTAGTATTTTGTGAGGACGATTTCTAAGATTACACTTCCTCTTCCTCACCCTTATAGCGTTGGTCTCCATTGATGATGCTTGTTTTTATCAACCACTCCTGTGTGATGGTTGCCAAAGGTTATTTTTTTTAAAGCCTTATTGTAAACTCATGGAATCTTTGTTTATACATTGTATTATAATTTGTTACTGTTATTCTTGTTTTTGAAGCTTAAGTTGTACCAATTTGCACTTGCCTTCAAGATAGCTCCTGTGTTGTTTTGACATGACTTCATTAGGCTTCAGGCACTTGCTTGGTCTCTCTATACCATGTTCCAGGCTCACTTTTGTATAATTATAGTTATTCCCTATCCACCTTCCCTTCCTGTGAAAGAAGTTTGCAATGGGTCTACTGCATAGTGGTGTTTAGTATATGGCGAGAGATAAGGATCAAGTTTCATTCTCCTTTAATCTAGTACAGATCCCTGCTTCACTTTGCTTCTGTGATCTTTTTCCCCCTGAATTTTTCTGATTGTTTTTTTCATGATTAGACTCAGTGAAACATCTTTTTAAAAGAATATTATATAGGGTTGTGTATAGCCCATTGCATCACAACAAGGAGCACATAATGTCAGGTTGTCCAGTTATTGATGATGCCAAATTTGATTGTGTGGTACTTGTGTTTGCCACTTCTCTCCCTTATAAAGGTACTGTGATTAATAATTAGTCTCAGATTTACTGTGAGAGTATGTAAATATGCATTTCAGCATCCAATAATGAATCTTGCCTGAATCAATTATTGAGCTAATCATTTCTAATGATTTCACAGTTCACTCAATACTGTCAGGATTATTAATATTTTTCTTTTTTTTTTGCCACTTTATTTTTTGTATTAGTGAAATTGGCATATAGTATTTTTGGATCACAGGTACATTTTGTCTGCTTATATCTTTTGCCCAAGTGTCATTATTTTCTAATGTAATCCTATTTGTAATAACTGACATTGGTTAGAATTAATTCTTATATTCTTGTTAGAATCCATTTTTCTACTAACATTGAGAAAGTAACGTTTGACATTTCCCATTCAACAATATGCATATTAAGGTCTTCCTAACAGTGTAGAGTTAGGGAATCTTCATTTGAACTTAAAACTAAAATGCATCTTGTTGTTTACAGGGCATGTCCTTAACTTCAGAATGGTTTGCAAAGTATTTGCACTCATCAGCAGTTGCATGTCAGGTAAGTTTGAATTTTTAAAAAATAATTCATTTCATTTTGAAGAATTGTGGTATCATTTTTCACCCAGATAATAAAAAAGTTTTCTCTCTAAGTAGATATATCTTCTTAGCTCTTTCCAGTGGATTGAAAGAGAATACATAAAGAAAATGGTATTCAGTATATACAGATCGAAGATCTTCAGGCTTTTTTAGCTAAAATTGAGTGTTAGGGGAAACTGTCATTTAATAAATGTTTATTGATGACCTGCTGTATGCCAGGCCCAATTCTCAAATCAGATTAGATATTTCAGAAAAAGATGGAAAAAAAAATCCCTCATGGAGTTATAGTCTGAATAAATGTCAGTTTGTACTAAGTGCTATGAAGGCAAATAATTTGGAGTAAAGAACATAGAGGGGCAGGGGATCCTATAATATTTTATATAGAATGGTCAGGACAAACATCTCTGAGAAGGTGATATTTGAGCAAAGCCCTGAAAGAAGTAAGAGTGAGCCATGTAAATATTTAAGGGAAGAGTGTTCTAAGCAGAGACCACAGCAGGAACAGATGTCCCAGGGCACAAGTTCACTGGCTTATTCATGCTCAAGAGACAGGCAGGAGGCTGGAGTGGCTAGAGCAAAGTGAGCAGGGACAGTGGAGAGGAGGAGAGGTCAGGGATGTAGGGAGCGGCTATGACGAGGACCTGGGACTTTTCCTAAGGGAAGTAGAAGGATTTTGTGCAAAGGAAGACATGGTGGCACTTCAGGTTTTAAAAGGGTTGCTGTAGCATGGAGAATAGAATTTGTTGGGCTAAGAACATAAGCAGGGAAACCATTTAGAGAGTATTAGAGCAATCTGAGTGAGAGATAGCAGAACCGTAGACAAGGGTGGTACCATGGAAATGAGAGAAGGGTTTAGCTTCCGGCTGTACTTTGAAGATTGAGCCAACAGGATTCACTGATGAGTTGGATATGAGAAGGACAGGAAAAAAAGTTCACTGCAAGATTTTGACCTGAATAACTGTAAAGATGAAATTGCCTGAGAGGGAAAATTGAAAAAGAAGGTTGAGAGGCAAACTCAACAAATGATCTTACTTTGTTGTTCATAAAGCAGATTACTTAAACAAAATAGATTTAGACGTATATGTGTAAGATCTAATATAGAAACAAATTATTCTTTCAAATATAAATATTCTACTTAATAGTTTTTTAAAATGTCATGCTATACATTTTTACTTAGTTCTTCTTTCATTTGCTTATCTTTATATTTTAGCAGAAAATTTATAATTAAAATGTATTCATTTCTCTTCTCATATGGAAAATTTTTCTACTTAAGCTAGAGGAAATGTTTCTTTTTTCTAGCAAAAAAACAAATGTTTTAAAAAGCAAAATAATAAAAAAGAATTAGAATAGGTAAATTAAAACAAAGCATAATTTTTGTATCAACTTTTGTTTAGACTGTTCAGGTCCATGTTACATTTCTTTGCCATTGTTCTTTTGTAGATGCATGCTAATCTAACATCTTGCCAAGTTCTTGGAAATATGTGTGTGATGAACATGAATTCTTATGATTCTGCTACATGTGATGCATGTCGACTGTTTCAGTTTATCTTTGAAAATACTGCTTCACTGAGCACTGTTCATTCTATCTCATTTTGGTAAGGATATCTTGATTGTTGCAATGTCATTTTGACTGAATTCAGTGTAGTTTTATTCATAAATATTAATAAATATTTCTTTCCCATTATTAAAACAATTGTAATTGTTTATAGGAGACAGAATCTTCCATGGCTGTTTTATGGAGACCAGCTAGGATTAGCACCTCAAATACTCACTACTACCCCTCTTCCTACAAATTTCAGTTTTAAAGGGGAAAACCAGGTATAAGTCTCTATGTCATTAGAGGATAACTACATTTTGATTTACAATTTTAAATGGTAATAAAGTTACTAGTTACGATTCTTGCTTTATTAGGTTTTTATAAATTTAGTTATTGAACTAAATATAAATATCAGCTGCTTATAAGAACTAAACAGTATAGAGTTTAGCTGTCTTATTTGAGTATATGGATACCTCTGGATGATGTGGTTATGGCATCAAGTGGTATTAGTCGGGTTGGGAAGAGTAGTTTTCATCACCAAATGCAAAACAATCTCTTTCTGAATTTCCTTCTGAAATTCCTTCTGAATTTCCATATTTTAAAGAAGGGATTGGGGCTCCATGATATTGCTCAGCACTTCACAGGTCCAAATTCCCACCTCTGACTTTCTGACCTAGAACGAAGAAGTAAGATTATTCTTCTGCCCCCAGGTCCCATGTAACAGGTTTGAAAGGAGACTATCTGTCACTAATGCTGCCTCTCAATTCTAAAATAATAATTTTCATGCAGAAAACCAGTCCAGCTTTTTAAGGTGTATTTAATCATAGGAATAGTTAGATTAATTGAGCTTCAAAACAAAGGTAGTTGAATTTAATTTTTCAACAAAAAAGATCAGTCAACAATACAAAAGAAAGGATTAGTCAACAGTGAAAATTTCTTTGTAGAATATTATATTACTTTCAGAGTATTTGACATTATTTTATTCTTGTTTTCTTTAATCAGAATACAAAACTGAAGTTTGTTGCTGCTTCCTATGATATAAGAGGCCATTTTCTCAAGTGGCAAACTTTAGAAGGAGGTATTTTACAGGTAAGCATGATTCTACCTAAGAAATTAGTAATGAGCCTTATTTTTGCTTGAGGCAAAGACAAGAGGAAAAAACTAAATTATTGTTTGAATAGAGCATTTGTTACATACTATGGCTGATTTTTTTCTGGTGCTTTAAATTGGAATTTCTTAAAACTGCTTTTGAAGTTATAACTTTAATTTATAACAAAGATGCTCCCTTAACTTTTTATATCCTTGATACATGAAATAAGTATTATGTAGAGCATATATCCATGTGGGAGCTTGAGAACTCTTTACTAAAAGCAAAGAAAACATTTGTGAGAGATATTTATCAGTTACATTCTTTTGCTGTAGCTTTGTCCAGACACAGAGACAAGGCTAAATGCTGCTTTTTCTTTTGGAACCACCTATCAACAAAATGTAAGTTTGGACTATGTTAGTCTATATTTTAGCTTTGTTTTTTAAAATATCACATGAGCAATAGTTGGAATACTATTTGAAATTTTGAAATTGGAAATGTTTTTAACAGTAATGAGTAATTTCATTAATTAATATAATTTATGTGGGCACAGAAAACCTTAATTTAATCAGCATGAAGAGAGTACCTTGTCATCTTAGAATGTTAAACATCATTTTCACAGTCAATTGTTTATGTGCTTCTAGGCTAATAAGTCTTAAAAAAATAATGCCTACTTCTGAGCATTTTGGAATAAAGTAAAAATACTACTTTGTTTTTGTGATGAATAATAATATTACTCCTTTCTCATTCTATCCCCCAATAACAAGTAAAAATGCTTCCTTTTTTTCTCCCTTCATACTTTTTCTCTGCTTCCTGCTCTGACCTTCTTTACTTTGGCAACCCATTTTGAAATTACAGTATGGTACAAAGGAATGTTATGAGACATTAAATATTTGAAAGACATTCAGTAGTCTATAAAACTGCTTCCTGAGAAAAATGTATGTATACACATACCATAGAACAAAACCACAATAAAAAATACCATTTTGGAAAACAACAAACATTTTTAACAGTGGTTATCTCTGGATGGTAGGATTAGAGATGATTTTTGTTTTCGTTTTTGTATTTTCCAAATTTTCTAACATGAACATAAATTCACTTAGTTTGTCAGAAATGACTTATATATTACTTTAAAAAAAATAAATAAATGATATTGTGCATCTAACATGAGCCAAGAGAAGTAACACTTATTAAATACCTGCTGCTGTGTGCTCAGCATTTTATCATTGTTATCCCATTTGATCCATAAAATAACTATGTGAGATACATACTATCTGTGCTTCACAGGTGAGGAAGTTATGTCCAGTAAGATTAGGTAGTCTACTCAAAGTCATGCATCAGATAAATTGTTGAGCCAATGTTCTGTTAGGTTTAAAAACCATGGTTATTCCACTGAACCTGGCTGCCTCTCAAGCAGTCTATAGCCTCGTAGGCAAAGCTACATAGAAAAAGACTTGCCAAGAATGTGATGTGTTATTCTATAGGTATGTACAAGGTACCCGTTCCTGGGAAAGTACAGAAAGGCTTCACAGAGTGACACTTAGGCTTGTATAATGAATATGAGTTTGCCAGGAGAACACAGTTGGGAAGGGAACATTAGGCAGAAACCACATTTTCAATGCCAGAGTGACATAGAATAGCATGATGTATTTAGGAACTGCAAGTAGATTAGTATGAATGGACCACTATAGACTGGTAGGGAGCACTGGGAGATAAGCCTGGCTCTGTTAAGGGAAGCCAGATCATAGACGTCATTGTATATCAGGAGAAAGAATTGGGAGTTTATCCCACAGGACAGTAGTTTTTAAACATTTTCACTGATGTGCCCTTAATGTTGAGAATGAAGTCATACCTTTTCCATCTGGGTTGTAGGTCAAGAACAAAGCAGTTCTTTACTGTTAGCTTTTTTGGCCCTTATAAAAGAATCATATTTGCAGTATTCATATTTTGGAAGGCATGTGGAAATGCATATAAACTAGATAGTTTAAAGATTTTATTTTGCATAATTTAAAAAACACTCTTTTAAAGATAATAAATATACTTTCTAATTTTAAATTGTGATGTTTGTATTTTTAATTTTATTTTCCAGTGTGAGATTCCTATTTCTAAGATCTTAACTGACTTTCCCACTCCTATATTTTATGATGTGTACCTTGAATATACTGATGAAAACCAACACCAATATATTTGGGCTGTACCTGTGTTAAACCTAAATCTTCAGCACAATAAAAGATTTGTGAACCAAGGTAAGACATCCATACATACCACTGTTTCTCTGAGCAGAAGTCAATAAACAAGTCAAACACATGATAATTAAATAAACCATTGATTATAAGGAGGGTCATGAATTCTCTCTTATTATATGAGTTTATATGGCATGCCAAAAAGTAAAACAATAAATTGCTGATGTACTTAGAAATTTTTACTAATTTTTTTAATCAGGCATATTGTTAAGAAATTAGGCCTGTAATCCTAGCATTTGGGAGGCAGAGGCAAGAGCATTACTTGAGGCCGGGAGTTTGAGAAAAGCCTTGGCGACATACTGAGACCCCATCTCCACAAAAAATAAATAAATAAATAAATGAGCCACACGTGGTGCTTATAGTCCTAGCTACTTAGGAGGCTGAGGTGGGAAGATCACTTGAGCCCAGGAATTTGAGGCTGCAGTGAGCTATGACCCAGCCACTGCACTCTAATCTGGATGACAGAATAAGACCCTGTCTCTAAAAAAATAAATTATAGTGTTATTAAGCGTATATCCTGAAAAAAATTAGAAGAATTGTAAATTAGGGCTTTTTCTTCAAGCTGTCCTCTCTCTGCTTTTTTGGATAAATTAGTTTCTTTTGTTGTTACTCATTTTATAAGATCCTGCTTTTTCAGGTAATTTGTAGGGAAAAGCCTTCCAGATTGATGAAAAGTTCAAACAATCAGAAGGCATTCAAGTGAGAGATGGAGAAGACCATTATTAAATTCTTATAGCTGGCTGGGTGCGATGGCTCACACCTGTAATCCTAGCACTCTGGGAGGCCAAGGTGGGAAGATTGCTTAAGGTCAGGAGTTGGAGGCCTGAGCAAGAGTGAGACCCCATCTCTACTAAAAAAAAAGAAAAAGAAAAAACTAGCCAGGCAACTAAAAATAGAAAAAATTAGCTGGGTGTGGTGGCATGTGCCTGTAGTCCCAGCTACTTGAGAGGCTGAGGCAGGAGGATCACTCAAGCCCAGGAGTTTGAGGTTGCTGTGAGCTAAGCTGACACCACAGCACTCTAGCCTGGGCAACAGATTGAAACTCTGTCCAAAAAAACACAAAAAATTCTTACAGCAGTAACTTTTTGCAGCCATCTTATCTAAAAAAAAAAAAAATACTAATTTTGTGTTTTAAATGTGTCCAGTAAACTTCTTCAGAGCTGTCTTGAACAATATGTGGCTATTTTTTTAATGCCATCTTATTTTTTCTTTTCATAATAAAAGACAGTAGCTCTGGCATGTGGCTTCTGACTCGGCGCATTTTCTTAGTGGATGCAGTAAGTGGACAAGAAAATGACTTAGGAAGTCAGCCAAAAGTAATTCGAATTGCTACCCAAATATCACTGAGGTAAACAAATGTCTAATGACTTGCAGTATACGGGAAAATGTCATATGAAAGTGTTTGCCAGTAATTATCAAATGAAAACTATAAGGACAACTGAATTGTAATAGTTGATAAGGTTTTTTTAGTTATTTATGTACATTGGCATAGACCAATAAAAGTGAAGGACCAAGGGGGGATTTATATCAGAAGAGTGTGAGGAATTTGCTCAAAATTCACATTCTAGGCCTCACTCTAGAGCTACTGAATTAGAATGGGTTGAGAGGTGTAGGAAAGGTGAATACCACTGGGCTAAAATTGGTGTTCTAGGAAGAGACTGCCAGATGATTGTTAATAGTAAGGCCTCCCCTGTCCTCATTTCCTTTTATAGCTTTTGTTCTAGGTTTACCCAGATTAATTATCAACACCTTTCTCTTCCTATGATACCTTAACTATGAGCCTACCTTAGGGTAATACCGTGCTTTCTTTTCCAGAGTGGGATCTCTAAGATCTTAACTGACTTTCCCACTCTAATATTTTATGAGGTATACCTTGAATACACTGATGAAAATCAACACCATCATCTTATATTATATTAGATTGATATTATACTTTGAAGCACTTAAATATGCATTTTTCACTGTTATTTCATTTTGATTCTCATAGTCTTATGAGGTAGGCAATACAGAAACTTTGTCATATATCTTATAGAAATCCACATGTACTGTGTTTTTAGTATTCCCTCAATTTGCTAATGTGGTATCCCTAGTAAAAATTAAATCAAACCTCCTCAGGCTTGACACATTCTTGATGAAACCATATTGGCCCCTCGTAATTGGCACTTCCCTCTTTGAGTCCACAAACTGTACAGTACTAATGCATTGATTTTGGCAAAATGTACTTCACTATGTGCCGTAAACAATATTATATCTCATACATTTTGTTAAGAATCCATCTTTCTCTTTTGAAAATCAGGATTTTATCTGCCTTTCTTTAAGCTGCATGTAGCACTGCAATTTTGATTATTACTCAGAGACGGTTTGAGTGCTTCAGTGATTTCACTTGTAAACTCCATAGGGCCTGGATCAAAAGCATTTCTAATTTATCTCAGAGGATATATTTTAATATTATTTTGACTGCTTAAGATAGCTTGTGTTGTTATCATTAGATTATGTTTAACTTTCCCTAGTTCTTAACTGGTTGGTTCTGAGATCATCAAGATAATTCGTATTAAATTCAAAAGAAATGGTAAACTAAATATATGTTTAAGGGCTTAGATATACTTATCACTCTAAATATATTTTCTTTTAAATAGCATCAACCTTGTACCTAACACAAAAAATGGAAACATCTACCCTCCTTTAATCACTATTGCCTACCGTGACATTGATATCAAAGATCCCAAGAGCCAGTCTGTGGAGGTGAGTTCCTTACTAATCAGGTCCCGTACATGTATAAATATAGCATAATACTGATGTGATTTATATTATGATCAAAAGACAATTTGTCTTTTTTTAAGTTTTAAATAAATCTTTCTCTTTATATTGTCAAGTCTTAAATAGTTTTTACTAATAATGGTAAGAGGTGAGTTCCTGTGGATCCTGAGCAAGAATGAATTAAATTTTTCAGTAGAAGCATTACCAGCAATTGAGCATCCTTGTTAGGGATCCTGGGACATGCTGAGATGTGCACCATCTGCTCCTGTCCTTTTGGACTACCTTGCTTCTGTTAAGATTTTGTCCCTTTGCCTAATTAAACTGGGAACTTAGACTTTACAGTGGGCATATGTGTGCTCACCAATCTATAGCCTACTTGATAGAGATACACTTTAACAGGCAGAAAGATTATTAATAAAATTACCGGCTTTATAACTAGTAGTGCTAACATGACCTAGAGAATGTGGTTTGGATCCGTACTTCTTCCCCAACTCAATTAAACTTAGCTACAGAACTGATGGCCTCTTCTACCTAGGAGGGCCTATATATGGAAATAACAAACCTCGTACATCCCCAAAACGGGCTGTACCGAAGATAATGAGCCTGGAAACGACTGAGCTGTACATGCTCAGTTCCTCTTTTCAACCTCCCCAGTCAGATAAAGCATCCCTGCTTTGAGGAAGGGTAAATGAGAGAGGGATAGAGATTAAAAGCAGAGGTAATCCTTTTATACTTTTTCCTTCTAGAGATTAAGTGGATATCCCCTTCCTTTTCTGAAAATATGAGAAGTAGGGGATAAGCATTTCTTACCTTCAAGCTCACCAATAGCTTTTAATTTTTATTAGTTTACTTTTCTGAATTTTAATATTCTAGTTCCTTCATCCAGTGCTTTTGGCCTCTCTGTTGTGTTTGCACTTGTACTCACCTGCTATGGGATTCAAACTTTAATTAAGCAAAATTAAGCACCTAGTATAACTTCTCTTAAAGATTTCCCGTTTTCATTTTTATTACCTAATCCAATGTTAAAATTAGTTTCTATTGACTGAGCTTGTGTGTAATGAGAGGAGAAGAAAATCCAGAAGCATACTTGGTAACAACAAAAGGCTGCCTGGCTTAAAACCTCCTGGAGTGATATTCATAGGTAACCAAGAGTATATTTATTTTAATATAAAATACTTCTGGGTCTTTTCTTTAAATATTATTCTTGCCTAAAATATTCCAAACTAAGTCTTAACAAATTGGAAAATAACAGAGAGGATTGTGAGAGTCATGAAACTATACTGATAAAGTCCATTTCATCCTAATTATAAAAAATACAGTTATTTCATCATTTCTTAATTTCTCATGGCAGCTGTTGCAAAAATTGTACATCAGTTTTAAGCATCCAGCTATGGCTCTGCTCTCGCACCAACAGCAAATAACCTTCCTGTTTTACTGAGCAGATCAAGACCATCTAATAGGAATTCCTTCAGATTTCTTCCTTTTTTTTTTTTCTTTTTTTGAAACAGGGTCTCACTCTGTCACCTGTGATGTCATCACAGCTCACTGCAACCTCCAACTTTGGGGCTCAAGCAATCCTCAGCCTCCCGAGTAACTGGGACTACAGGCGTGCGCCACCATGCCCAGCTAATTTTTCTATTTTTTGTAGAGACGGGACCTTGCTCTTGCTCAGGCTAGTCTCAAACTCCTGGCCTCTAGCAATCCTCCTGCCTCAGCCTCCTAAAGTGCTAGGGTTACAGGCATGAGTCACCACACCCATCCAGATTTCTTCTTTAATACTAAAGAACTCCTGTGTTTCATTATCTTTCCCATTTCTTGTTTCTATTTCTAAGAAAGAAAATTCCCTCCTCCTTTGCTAAGCTAATCCTCTACCTAAACTTGTCTGCAGTACTTTGTCCAATATCACCCAACCCCTTATTCAGCCAGCCTCTCTGCTAGTCACTTTCCCTTGTTTATAAAAACTGTCAGGTAGCTTCATTTTAAAAACGAACTAAAACATCCAGCTGAACAAATTTTTTACTCAATTCTGTCAGCTCCTCAGCTTGCTGTCATATTTCTTTCCTTCATTTCCCAGCCACTTCTCCATCATTTGCAATCTGGCTCTTGCCATTTTACTTCTTTGAAAACATCTTTCATGAAGGTCAGCAATGAATTCCACATAGAGTGGCTTTATTTCTTTACCATAGCATTTATTTAACATTTGACACTGTACTCTTGACCTTCTCCTCCTTCTTGAAACTCACTATTCTGTGACCATGATAAGACTTAAGTATCTTGCCTCTCCTCTCACAGTCTTCTTCTCTGACCCTTCACTGGTTCTTCTTTCTCTTGTCTTTTAAAATAGTGGTATCCCTAAGGTTTTTATTCAGACTTTTGATTAATCTACTTAGTTAGGGTATGTTTGTTTAGCCAGTTGCTAAATTCTTTTTTTTTAATTGTATTTATTTATTTATTTTGAGACGCATCTCACTCTGTTGCCCAGGCTGGGGGACAGTAGCACAATCATAGCTCACTGCAATCTCAAATTCCTGGCCTAAAGTGATCCTCCTGCCTCAGACTCCCAAGTAGCTGGGGCAATAGGTGTGCTCAATGACACCTGGCTAATTTTTCTTATTTTTTGTAGAGACAGGGTCTTGCTGTGTTGCCCTGGTCTTAAACTCCTGATGTCAAGCGATTCTCTCACCTCGGTCTCCCAAAGTGCTGGGATCCCAGGCGTCAGCCACCATGCCCAGCCCTAAATTCTTGATACATAAGTTTAGTCACTTTCTTCAGTTACAGAAACCTATTAGAAAATGAAATATGGTTAGTTTGGCTTGAACTGCTGTTAATGAACCTAACTTAGCTCCTCATGAACCCTTCTTTTAATATGTGTTCAAAAGAGATATTTAAAGCACACAAATAATTCTCAATAGTATATCTATTTATTCGTAAGAGTCAATTCTAATAATATTTATAGTTAAAAAATATAGCATTTATGGTAAAATCCAGCTACAAATGTATTTTTATAATAAAAGTAAGTTTGTGTTATACAATTTCAGTATGGCTAATTTGTTTTCTTTTAAATATCAGGTTTCTTTCTCAGTCAAATATGAAATGAATCAAGGAGAAGCACATGTTCAGACAGATGTGAGTTTATTTTAACCTGTTAAAAATATTTACATTTTTCAATTAAAAAAATAATAATTTCAGATGTATAGGAAAGTTGTCAAAATAGATTTGCCACATACCTTTCCCTCAACCTATCTTAATGTTAACATCTTACATAACCTTACTATAATGATCATAATCAGGAAATTAATATTACTATAGTCCTATTAACTAATCGACATACTATTTCAATTTCACAGGTTTTCTTCACTATTCTTTTTCTGTTTCAAGACCCAATCCAGGGTTCCATATTGCTTTTAGTTGTCATGTCTCCTCAGTATCTTCCAGTCTATGACAATTTCTCAGTCTATCTTTGTCTTTCATGACCCTGACGCTTTTGAGTACTAGTCAATTATTTTGGCCCTCAGTTTGGATTTGTCTGGTATTTTCCCATGAATAAATTGAGTTCATGTGGTTTTGGCAAAGATACCACAGAAGTGATGTTGTGCTCTTCTTAGTATGTCGTATCAGGAGGTACATGATGTCAATACGTCTTATTGCTGCTGATGTTAACTTTTATCAGATGGCTAAGATGGTGTCAACAGAGTTCTCTACTATATTTTTCCATTTGTAATTAATAAATATCTCATTGGGAGATACTTTGAAATTATGCAGATACCCTGCTTTTCATCATTCTTTTGCCCACTAATTTTAGCATCCATTGATGATTCTTGCCTGCAAAAAGTATTACTGAGATATTTGCCTTTTGGTGATTTTCTATTTCTCTCATTCATTCTGTATTTATTAATTGGAACTCTACTGTAAAGAGGAACTCTTTCTTTGCCCACAGTAATTTATTTATTCAATTATTTATTTAAATCAGTGTGAACTCATGGCTATTTATTTTACTCTAGTGATTATAATCTATTACTATTTATTTTCTTGCTCAAATTGTCCCAGATTTGGCCATTGGAAGTTCCTCCAACTTGGCTCCTGTGTCCTTTCAACATGCCTCCGCACCATTTTTTGAGCATGTCCTTACTTTCTATTTATAGTGTTTTTGAACACTGATGAGAGAAATTACATAAATTCTAAAATGTTCTTTTTTTTTTTGAGATTGCTTTGGGTGTGTTGGGTGGGCTAGCTGTTTTAGCAGCCCTTTTGAAGACAGCAGCATGGAAGAGGCGCATTGGAAGTCCCATGATTGATTTACAGGTATGTTCTCAGGACTTTTTAAAGAATATTTTTGTCTTTTGACTATTCTGGATCTTTCTGATAAGACACAGCTAGAGGATGAATAAGAAAGTTGCCTTGAATTTTTATGGGGTATGTAATTAGAATAGGTATTGTTGCGTCATAGGATATATGCACACCTCATTTTCTTCCCACAGTGCCGGATGGCAGTCTACACTCCCACCAACAGTCCTGTTCCTGTTTCTGTATGTCTTCGCCAACACTTGATATTTTTCCAACCTTTCTATTTTTTGCCAATCTCATGATACATGTCATTGTTATATGTGGTATGTCATTGTTGATTTCATTTTAATTTCTCTGACTACTCTTCATATACTTTTTGGATTTCCCCTTCTGTGAACTGCCTGTTTATTATATCCCTTGACTATTTTTCTATTAGGTTTCTAGCTTTTCTTGTTTATTTGAAGGAATTTTTTGTATTTTTAAAATGTTAAACCCTTTTTGGTTTCTGATGTTGAAATGTATGCCCAAATACATAACTCGTCTGTTATTTTTATGCATGTGGTCCTTTGTTTAATGGAACTTTTAATCTTTGTTTTTTTTTATTTCAGCATATTATGGGGGTACAGATGTTTAGGTTACATATGTTGCCCTTGTCCCCCCTCCCCGGAACTTTTAATCTTGATGTGGTAGCATCTGAATTTTTTTTTCATGTTATGGTGTATAACTTTTGGGATCTTGTTTAGGAAAACCTTCCCTATCTCAAGATCGCAAAGATATTCCACATTTTAATTCTCTTAACTTTATAATTTTTCCTTTCATTTAATCTTTAAAATTTTTTTTTAATTTTAATTTTTATTTATTTTTTTTACTTCCAGAGTCTTTTATTGATCATCTGTAGTTCAATATCAGGTACATATAGCATTAGCAAAAAACAAAGATCTGTGCTTAGAGTTTAGTTTCCACCTGAAATGTTTTTATTTTTTATCTAACATTTATTCCATACTTACTGTGTGCCAGGCACTTTTTAAAGCTTTACACATATATAATTCATTTAATCCTCACAATAGCTCTATAAAGTTAGGTAATATTATTATTATTCCCATTTTACACATGATGAAATTGAAGCAGGGGTTAAATTTTCTACTCATTTAATTTTTACAACAGCTCTGTAATAGGTATTTTATTTTGCTGATGAAGAACATAAGAAAGGCTACATAGTAACTTGTTTAACCAGGTTATCTTCCTGATTTCAAAGTCAACATGCTAAGGAATCAGAGTGGGGGCCTTGACTTACTATTTGGAATAGTCAAGAAAGGCTTCCCAGAGAAGTGTACTTTAAGCTGGGTTATCTGTTCATTCCACAGTAGTCACTAAGGCCCTGCTGTCTAAGTGCCTGGCACTCTACCAGACACTGGGGGTGTGGTAGTGAGGAAAGACAGATGTGGTCTGTGCCCTCAGAGCCTCATGAGAGTCTGCTAGAGAGAGGAAAGGAAGAATATTTCATAAAAACAATGCCCATTTTATTCCACGAAGTATTTGAGATGAAGGTGTGGAGTGGTTAATCATTGAGTAAGTGGCTGGAACTGGCAGATGAGGCTAAAAAGTTAATTTTGGTCTATGTTGTAAAGGACCTTGTGGTCAGGAACTTACATGTTAGTGAGGATTTGTACAATTTTTAAGAAGTGGAGTGACAGAGTCCAATTTACACTTTAGAAAACTAACTCTCATCGTAGTGTGGAGGAGAGATTAGAGTGGCAGGTTTCCAACTAAGAGAAAATTACTAAGCAGTTCAACTTTCTTAGACAGTGAAAGATGAAAAGGATTGAAAATGACATGGACTACTGGAAATGGACTGAAAGATAAGGATCCAAAAAGTAACTAGGAGGGAGACTCAGTTGGTCTTTATACTAGATGATACATGGATACATGAAACAAGGCTTCGGGCTTGAGAAACTGGGTGGATGATATATAAAAGTGATAGTGTTACTAAAAGTGATCATTGGGTCTTTAACAGCTATAATTCTTTTTTTTAAATTGCAGACAGTTATGAAATTCTTGCTGTACTATGCTGGTGATCTCGCCAATGTTTTCTTTATCATCACAGTGGGAACAGGTCTTTATTGGCTTATTTTCTTCAAAGTGAGTGAGTTTCTGAATTTACCCTAAATACCAATACCTATATAACTGATAAGCTCTCTTTATAAAGGAATTATTTTTGTTTGGGAGCATTTCTGATCAAGAGTATTAAGCTGGGCATGGTGACCCATGCCTGTAATCCCAGCACTTTGGGAGGCTGTGGTGGGAGGATTGCTTGAGGCCAAGAGTTCGATATCAGCCTGGGCAACATACTGAGACCTCATCTCTACAAAATATAAAAAGAATAGATGGATGTGGGGACACATGCCTGTAGTCCAGCTTCTTGGGAGACTGAGATAGGAAGATTGCCTGAACTCAGACGTTCGAGTTTACAGTGAGCTATGATTGTGCCACTGCACTCCAGCTTGGGGTAACAGAGTGAGACCCCGTCTCTAAAGAAAAAAAAAAGAAAGTATTGAGCCAGGTGCTAACCTCACCATTCCCCCGAGTGCAGTGAGCTTATTGAGTGCATCACTATCTTCCTCTTTTATGTATTCTAAATTGTGCTTAGTGAAAACCTTGTTCTACTTGGGAGGCTGAGGCCAAAGGATTGCTTGAACCCAGGTTTGAGTCCAGCTTGGGCAACATGGTAAGATTCCATCTCTACAAAAATAAAAAAAACCAAAAAAAGCCCATAAAACCCTTGTGTGATCATATTTAACCAAATAATTTTTATTATAGGCACAGACATCTGTCTCTGTTTTGCTACCAATGACAGTTCAAGAAGAACGGTTTGTTACTTATGTGGGATGTGCTTTTGCTCTGAAGGTAAGTTTCAAAAGACAGATTACCGAATTTAAAAGGCCTGCTAATAAATTAATAAGTCCTTAAAATTAAAATATTTTCTAAAAAATTTTGGTGTAAAATTTACCTTAGTTTTGAAAGAAGGCATAAATTGTTTTATTTTGTTTTACATAGGAAATCTACCTTTATTTATAGTGAATAGCTCATTCTGAAAATCTACCTTAAATAATTTTTCAAAGAAGCCATAAATACATTGGGATTAATGTAAGTTATGGCTAATTTGGTAAACATTTCAGTGTATAACTTTGTTCCTTAAAGTCTGATGATATATTCACAATGGGACAAAATGCCTTTAGGCATGAATTTTGTCTCTGTTAATCAAAGATGAAAGATACCATTCTGGATAAAGTGCTGAAATCTTAGAGGTTTTTTTCCCTGTCTCCATATTCCTTTCCTCCTTTCTTCCTGTGGTCACCCCTCCCTACCTTCAGTGTCCTCCATCAATGTACCAGAAGCTCTTTACAGGCCTCTTTGGTAGTTCTCATCCCATTGTACTATGATTAATTAAGCATCTGCTTTTCCCATTGAACTAGGAGCTCCTTGAGGTGAGGTATCATCCGATACTTAGATTTTTATCCTTTGTTTGATCAATAATGTATCTACTAGAAAGAATGCCTCAGTTTAAACATTTGCTTCTATAAATGAGAAAGCTGTGTTTCAACAACACATTTTTTAAAAATCAGAAATCTCAATACCAGAGATAGAAAAAAAGACAGTAAGAGCATTCTAAAGCTTTAATTAGGACAAGCAAATCATAGCTGAAAAATATCTTTATTTACAAAGAAGTCAGATGATCTACAAAGTAAAGTATGTGTCTATAAACCTTGGGAAAGAGAGTTAATTATGCAAGGCCCCTGTATGAGGAGGAACTAGGCTATTTCCTTTTTTTGTATTGCTATTTTAAAGAAAGAGAAAGGGAACATAAATTAATATGTATATGAAAATTCTGTGAATTTGGTGATTCTACGTTATTGATGTGCTTCTAATGATCTCCTAAAGATACTATAACTTCTTGTGAATTCACTTGTAAAAATTATATGTTCTTGTGATTACAGTATGTTTCTTAAAGAATCAATATTGGTTCCATAAGCAGGCTTTATGCTGATACTTTTCAGGTGTTTTATTATATGTCATCCTCAGGCACTGCAATTTTTGCATAAACTCATATCCCAGATTACCATAGATATATTCTTTATTGATTGGGAGCGACCTAAAGGAAAGGTTCTTAAAGCTGTTGAAGGTAACAAAAAAAACATTTGTACCAAAATTCTTTTGCTACCCTTGCAGAGCAAAGAAGGTGAAACTCTTTTACTCATTTTATCTCCCTGATCAGGTGAGGGTGGCGTACGGAGTGCCACTGTTCCTGTAAGCATATGGAGAACATATTTTGTAGCAAATGAATGGAATGAAATTCAGACTGTGAGAAAAATTAATTCACTCTTTCAAGTACTTACTGTCCTCTTCTTTTTGGAGGTATAAACTGTTTTTTGATGTAATTGTATGCAATTTATGGGTACCTCATAAATGTTAAATTAATGTAATTCCAACTAAGTTTTCATGAAAGTGGAAGAGTTTTCTAAAGGTTGAAATATTATCAAGCCATTAAAAAGGAATGGCTTTTTTAAAATTGTGATGAAGTACATAACAAAGTTTACCATCTTAACCATTTTTAAATGTACAGTTCAATAGTGTTAAGTACATTCACATTGTCGTGTATTGGACCACCAGCTATCTCCAGAACTCTTCATCTTGCAAAACTGAAACTCTATAGCCATTAAACAATTCTGTACCCATTACCTCCTACCCTCAACTCCTGGCAACCACCATTCTACCTTCTGTCTCTATGAACTCGACCACTTTAGGTGTAAGGAGTGGCTTTTAAACTGCTGGTTTGTATCAGAATCCCCTGGGGAGGTTTTGTAAAATACCCATGCGTGGTCTCATCCTTAGAGATTATGTTCAATTTAGCAGATTGAAGGTGAGCCCAGGTATCTGTATTTTGAAAAAGCCCATTCCCCCATGATGCATATTTTCCCCTTCATCAGAACCACCATTATAAGGTTGGTATTTTTCAACAAACTGTCGTTGAACATCTACTATGGATTGAACAAAACACAACACGCTTATGACATTTGCAGTTATTTCATGGATTTGGTTGGAATTATGACAGGAAGTATTCAGTACTAAATATAAGACTGAACATGGAAACTGTTTATATGAGTGATAGGTTTTCCCAGGAATTATTTGCATAATTAAGACTGGCTATAAATTATTAACTCTTATTATATATATATTGTGGAATGGCTAAATCAAGCTATGTAACATACCTCACATACTTATTTTTTTGTGTAGGAGTGTTTTTTACAAATTTCATAAGCTTTAAAAGGTATTACATGAAAAAAAAGTTTGCAGTCAAGTAAGTTTGAAAACACTAGATTCAATAAAGTCATATAGAATCATTTACCATAAAACTTCTCAGAGCCTTTATACTACAAGGGTGGGAGCATTTAGGTGAGTTTAATGGACAGACCAAACATATTTAACCATGACTTCCTATTATCAAAGAATGTGTCCTCCAGAAGACATTTTGAAATATACTGTATATTAAAAATACTTGGTATAGTGCCTGGCACATGTTAATGCACATGAAATGTTAGTTGTTAGTTTAACTTATTGGTTTACTGAAGAAAGTTTTATTCTTTTAAACAGAATTTTTTGAGCTTTGTCAGTGTGTATGACAAGGTTATCTTTGGCCCTTAATCATATTGAGAAGAATACTAAATGCACTAACTAAATAGCTTCTAATAAATACTTTGTAACAGCCTGGGCAGCATAGCAAGACCCCATCTCTACAAAAAAAATTAAAAAAGAAAACCAATTAGTTGCACCTGTAGTCTCAGTTAGTCAGGAGGCTGAGACAGGAAGGAGGATCACTCATGCCCAGGAGTTTGAGGTTGCAGTGAGCT